AAAGGCTGTCACCTTTCAGAAGCAGCTCTTTCTTCTGAGACTTCTCTGGTTAGGTTCAAACAGATAATCTTTCAGTTAATAACCAACGAAGCACTTGACCTTTTGTACCCCTCAGGGCTCGAAATGTTGTCTACGTGTCACTTACGTGTTGTGTAGAGGATATGACCACTCAGAACTTTGAAAGGGAAGCTTTGTGCATTTGAAAACTGCCTTATGGAGTTACTTTAAAAACAACAACAACTTTTTATTGTGAACTGAGTGAAGGTTTACTGAGCAGATCATCAGTTTGGCATTCAACAAATCATATACTTTGTTTCATATCAATGATTGGAGTTCCCTCAACATAACATATTTCATTTCCTCCCTGTGTTTCCAGTTTCCATTCCTCCTTTGCCAGCCTTTCTACATTTTGTCCTTAAGTAAATGCTGCCATTCTGATCACAAATCATAGAACATTCTGTGGTGTGTGTACCTCACTAGTGTTGTTGTCTCTTCTATATACATATCTACTTTTGAAAAAATGTTTTATTGTGAGTTATGTGATAGTTTACATGGGAGAACATTAGTTTTACATTCATTCTTTCATATATCGTCGTTTCATTGCCATGGTTACAATCCCATCCTTGCATCATCAACCAACCAAAGGGTATACCCTGCAAACCTGCCCCCACACCCCTCCCCCCAGTCTTCAGCACACAGTCCCTCTCCCTCTCTGGATCTAAAGCCTCCAGCTGCTCCATCTCTCCACGTCATCATCTCTGCCTCCATCTCAGGCATCACTGCTCTGGTATACATATCTACTTTTGTTGTTGTTGTTTTAAAGTGCTGTTGAGTCGGTTCCGACCCATAGCAACCTTGTATGGGGTTTCCTAGGAGCAGCTGGTGAGCTTGAACTGCCGACCTTGCAGTTCAAATGGCTTTGCAGTCTGGTGCATTAACCTAAGGTGCCACACCAGGACTCCATGTATCTACTATTTGCCTGAAATTGAACCACAGAGGTAAATTAAGTTCTAGACCCAAAGGGGAACCAAGGGCAATACTCTTGGGGTTTTGCCAGTCTCTGTCTGACCAGTAAGGCTGGTCGTCTTTTTTTATGATTTTGAATTTTGTTCTACATTTTCTCCCACTCTGTTCTGGACTTTCTAATGTGATCTCTTTCTGAGTAGTTGGTCGTGGTAGCCAGGTGCCATTTAGTCTCATGGAGACTGTTCACATATACTATTAGCCCATTGGACTAATTGTTTCCAAGTATCTTCAGTTTTCATCACTTTTCTTTTCTCCAAACAGGAAGAGACCAATATTTATGTCTTAGATTGTTACTAATGAACTTTTAAGATCCCTGTACTTTACTCATCAAAGTAGGATGTAGAACATTGTTTTTGTGAACTTTGCTGTGCCAGTTAACCATGGTGTCCTATGGAGTTACTTTGAAACATCCCTTGAATAGAATCCAGGCTTTCCCTACCCTTCAGTGACTAGGAACAACACAGAGCATGCTACACTAGGTATTAGTCTTTGATTCTTTAAGATGCATTATAATTGATCAATACAAAGGACCTGTTGAAAATATTCTTTCAGCATTCTGAAAATAAATAACCCATTTATACATTGTAACAAGGGCAGCTGGGTTGCTATCATAGATAGGAATTTAAGATTTTTTTTAAAATGAGAGTTAGCTGAGACAACTAAAGAGCCCTTTCATAAGCTTTTAAGGGTTGTTGTTGTTTTTTTTTTTAACTCTGCTGATACTTGGCACTAAGAGGATTCTTATTCTTTCAGGGGTCTGATAAGCTACAGTGAGTCATTCATTTGGGAATCGAACATTTTGTAGATAAGCCACTTAACATTTAAAAAATATATTAAAACTGATTTTATTTTATTTTCTATCTTTTACTGGGAAAAAAAAAAAAAAACAAAACTGGACTCTTATGACAAGAGGGAATCAATGTTTGTTGAGTACCAGCTATTGATTACCTGGCACTGTTCAGTGTATGACGTAAACCAGATCATATTCATGAACAGCTCAGTATAAAGAGGGCACTAGTAGTTCTCTCATAGAAGTCTCACCTTCCATTTGGGAAGCTTAGGTTTGATTTCTGTTCCATGCATCCATGTACAGCAACCACCTGTTTCCCATTGGAGGCTTGTGTATCACTGTGATGCTGAGCACATTTCAGTGGAGCTTCCTCACTGTGATGCTGAGCACATTTCAGTGGAGCTTCCTGACTGAGATGATCTAGGAAGAAAGGCCTGGTGATGGACCTCTGAAATGAGCCAATAAAAACGCTATAATAAATCACAATGGTCTGATCTTCAGTTGGTCGTGGGGCTAGCACAGGACTAAGCAGCATTTTGCCCTGTTGTGTCTGGATTGGCCATGAGTCAGGGGCTGATTCTATGGCAGCTAACAATGATAACAGTAACTCTATGGAAATAGGTACTGTTATTCCCATTTTAAGGTGAGGCAATTGGCACTCAAGAAATACCTAACTCATCTAAGATCTCACCGAGTAGTCACAGACATACTATTAGATTTTCTAGACTCGAAAGCACCCCTGCTTTACATGGAACCATCAGTTTATACTGTACTTTGGATAAGTTGCAAGCCACCTCTGTAGGAAGGCAGGGGATGGGGTTTCCATGGGTGAAATTGTAGGTTAAATACAGGGCTGCCAACCTTAAAGGTGGCCATTTGAACCCACCCGGGAGGTGCTTCAGAGGAAAGTCCTAGTGTATCTGCATCTGAAAGATCACAGCCTGTGAAGCACAGTTCTGTTCTGAAACACATGGGGTCACCGTGGATCAGAATTGACTCAGTGGCAATGGGTTTTGGTAGATAGTGAGCCCAAACATAATTTTCTAAGAATATTGAGAAATTATAATAAAAAATGGAGTCCTGATATGGCACTGTAGGACAATCTCAAACCCGCCAGCCGCTCCTCAGAAACCCTTTACAGGGTTGCTGCTGTGAGTCAGAACTGATTTGACGGCACTTCACAATAACAGTGACCACGGTGGCAAGAAAATAGCTGACATTTCACCAATTACTCCCATGTAACAACCTTAAATGCTTTATCTACAAGAGAAAATTCCTAGAAATATAGAATGTTGTTATAGTTGTTAAGTGTGGTTGAGTCGGTTTTCAGTGACCCTGTATAGTGTTACCAAGGAAAGGATGGTGGATTTGAACTGCAAGGCTTGCAGTTAGCAGTCCAGTGCTTATCCTACAATGTCACACCATGACTCCAGAAATAGGGAAAGTTAGTAAGAAATGAATGCTGCAGCAGTGCCTGCTCTATTGTACAAGTGCTCCCCCTGCTTTTTGGTGTTTATGTATGTTATCTATCTGATCTTGATGTAGACAATGTAATACATGTGATAACTACCATCCTCAGAAATTTTCTATTAATGGTAATTTTAGTTTTCTTAAATGTGTTTTTTTCTGTTTTTACAGTTCTCAATGAACATGTACTATTTTGTTATGAAATAAAAAATGTTAATTCTGAGAAAAGTATAGTTTCAGGCTTTGAGACTTATGTGACATTTATGTAGTTACTGTTTATTTTATCTTTTATTATTATTATAAATGTTTTATTGTGAATGATGTGATAGTTTACAAGAGATAACATTAGTTTTACATTCATTCTATTGTATATTGTTTCATTGCCATGGTTACAATCCCCTCCATGCATCATCAACCAACCAAAGGGTATACCTTGCAAGCCTGCCCCCCACCCCTGGTTGTCAACACACAGCCCCTCTCCCTCTCTGGATCTCAAGTCCCCAGCTGCTACATCTCTCCACGTCATCCTCTCTGCCTCCATCTCAGGCATCACTGATTCTCTGGGTAGGGTCCCGCTCTCTGCTCTTCTCCATTGATGGTCCCAGGGACCTCTGCTCCTAGACTGAAAAGTTAATCACTCCCCTCCTTGCTATAAAACATCTACCTTTACATTTCTAACCCTCACAATCAGTCCTGATTGTTTATTTTATCTGTAATTTGAAAATTGAGTATAAGATGTGTGAAATCTTCTTTTTCTCTGAAAATATGACAAAAATAGATTTATATCATCATAACCTTCTTTCTTAAATATAGTGCAATCAAAACTTCTGTCTTAACATATGCTGTTTTTATCTACTTTCCTCTGTGGTTTACTGTTTGTGCACATAAGGGCAACTCTTAAGTAGCAGCCTTAGCAAACTACATTCATCTTTATCTTGAATGAATGATTAAAAAGGTGTAGTATGAATATTTTAGGAGTCCTGGTATAGCACTGTAGGATAAGCACTCGACTGTAAGGTCGATTTGAACTGCATAATTGGTGATTCAAACTCACCAGCCACTCTTCAGAAACCCTATACAGGGTTACTGTGAGTAGAAATCAACTTGACAGCACTTAACACCACCATGGGAATTACATGAACACTAGAAAGTATAAAATTACTTCCCATGTCAAATATGGTCATTTAAAGTATTTAGCAAGTGTGCCAGGCACTGTGTTACATTTACCACCTTTTAACAATTCGTTGTGATTTTTCAAAAATGTTGAAAATATTTTGATTAGATTTTAGTTTCAAAGAGAAAATAATCGAGTCAACTTTTTATGTGTACTATTGACAATAGTACAAGCAAACCAGAAAATGCAGAGAACGTAGCTCCTAGCTAACTACTTCCCTAGTCTACGATGAAGGTAACAACAGTGAGGTGATCAGAAATGTCCTCCAGTCCATGCCCTTGCTCCTGAAAGATGGTAATTTATGGTGGACATTTTGGGAATATTTGATTTTGTTCTGATGCTCTGTGTTACTGCTTTGACTCAAAACAAGCTCAAAGTTCAGTGATATGAGTTTTAGAATATGAAATATTGGAACTGACAAAGTATAAGATGATGAACAGGTCAAGTAATATTTAGTGAGTAAAAAGTAATGTGATTAAAAATTTGGGGATAAAATGGAGGAACTAATACATAATACACTAATTGAGGCTAAAACGTTCACAGACTTTGTTTCAAGCTGGTGAACTCAAATGGGGCACAGACGAAGAAAAGTTTATCACCATCTTTGGAACACGGAGTGTATCTCATCTGAGAAGGGGTGAGTGAAAATTATATGTAGAATAGGTACTTTAGTTAATTTTGAAAGTATATGGACCAGTACTCCCAAATAGTTATATTTCTTATTTTTGACCACCCTGAGGAATCTTCTTGAAGTTCTCTTTGCTGCTACTGTAGATTTTACAAAACTAGAGGCCATCAGCCTGCCTTGCACTATCAGAGGGTAATGAGGGCAGTCAGGCCTCTAGATTGTTTCTATCATGGCCACAAGCCATTGCGTAGTGGATAGTTCACCACAATTTTTTTCCTAGATAGTGATGTGTAGGTAAAAATAATTGTAGTGATTGTTTCCACCCATACTTAGTTGGGAATGAATTAATTGGCAGTTGATAGCAAACTCTGCTAAGCATAACTTTAAAATTTGTTGATTATGTGTGTTCATAGGATTCCATATCTGGCATGTTAGATCCTGGACTCCCTTCGTTTTTCTCCTCCACTGTCCTTAGTGTTTTGATTTTCTTCCTTATACTCATTACCTCATCATCACAATATGGTTGCTGTAACCACAAACACATCAACATTTTTATAGCAGGAAGAAAAGGAAGTGGTTATCTACTTATATCCATCTATCTCTTTTTATCAAGAACAATAAATAGTTCTCAGAATCCCTTCTAGCAGATTTCCCCTTAAGTATCAGAGTCTATAACTAGTCAGGGGCTGGGAAATCAGCCAATGGACAACTCTAGAGGTTATGATCATTGCTTGTGCTTGCCACACTGAGGCTCTGAACACAGTGAGGGTTCTGTTACCAAGGAAAAAGAAGAAATTTGTGTAGGGGTCAGTACTGGTCAGAGTAAATATCTTTGTGCAGGAAAGAGTGATCTTTATGTAATGAATAAATCATCTTCATTTTTCCAGTGTTTGACAAATACATGACTATATCAGGATTCCAAATTGAGGAAACCATTGACCGGGAGACCTCTGGTAATTTGGAGCAACTACTCCTTGCTGTTGGTAAGTAATTTCACAATGTTTGTAATGCAAAAGGGTTTCAGAAAGTTCATTAAAAACTTGCATTGTCTATTAATTCCATTTTTATGTTCAGCTATAACTAAAAAAAAAAAAAGTGTTTGTTGTTTTTTTTTTTTAGTTGTATCTGAAAAGATCACCTATTTCTTAATTAAAAGAAGAACTTGACAGGATATTTAGGTGAAGCAAACGCCTATATTTCCAACTCAGAAGTATGAAATATAGGAGCCCTGAGACTACCTAAGATACCCTTTGCACTTGATGCTGAAGTCTCTCCCAGAGATCATCTTTTATCAAAATAATAGATGGGTTCATAAAAAAAGCAATATCACCCCGATACTGTGTTTTCTTTAAATATTCAATTATGAGGTGGCTTCACAAAGCTCATGGAAAAATTCCATTACCTTTTAATTCCATTTTTCCATGAACTTTCTGATGCCCCTTCATATATGAAAACAAAACGGGGCCAGCCTTCATCTTAAAGTATGGAGGGGCCAGGAATCTAGATGACCGTAATGGAAGCAGTGGAATTAATGAGAAAGCTGGCACATTGTGAACAATGTAACAGTGTCACAAAACAATTCACATAAAGGTCATTAAATGGAAACCTAATTTGCTATGTAAACTTTCTTCTGAAACATAGTGAAATATTATTTAAAAAGAAAAAATAGGTAAGAGTAGTCATCTTTTATCATTTTCTTATCCAAGTGTCTTGGAATGAAAACTTCTAAGAGTTTTGTATCATTTTTTGGACATGTTATCAGGAAAAATAGTCCCTGGAGAAGAACATCATATTTAATAAAGTAGAGGGTCAGCATAAAAGAGGAAGACCCTCAACAAGATGTTGAGTGACTGGTTTCAAACATAGAAACTATTGTGAGGATGGTACAGGATCTTGCAGTATTTCATTCTACTTTATGTAGTAGGCTATGAATTGGAACTGACTTGTAAGTACCACACAAGAACAACAAAATTGTGGCATGAAAACAACCCAAGATACCCAAACTGCTATATATAAAAAATGTTCATAGAACAAAGACACATAGAAAATTCTTGAACTCCTTGTCTCATATGCCTTTCTAGCTCTGGTAGTGTAATGGTTACAAATCGGTTTGCAAACCTCAAGTTCAGCAGTTTGAAACTACCAGCTGTTCCACGTGAAAAAGATGAGGCTTTCTGTTCCCGTAAAGATTTATAGCCTTGGAAACCCTGTACAGGGTCACTATGAGTCGGAACCGACTCTATGGCATCACCACCACTGTGTAACTCAAGCTTCCGAGGGAAACTTAAGCCAGTATATTACAGAAATACTTGGTGAGTGAGGAGATCAGATTAGTTTGCAAATGAGCAATGCTTTAATTTCTTACTACTTTTATAGAAGTAGAGCTCTAGGACTGAGACAGGTACTTGTTTTTAATTACTAATCCTATTAAGGAACTCTGATAGTGTAGTGATTACGCTTTGGGTCGCTAACCAGATGGTCAGCAGGGTGAGCTCCATGGAGGACAGTTGAGGCTTTCTGCTCCTGTAAAGATGTACAGCCTTGGAAACCCTATACAGGGTTGTTTTGAGTTAGAACAGACTCGATGCCACACCACCACCACCTCCAATCCTGTTGGTTCTATAGATAAGTAACTGCAATTTTGGCAGTTTAAACCCACCAGTCACTCTTGGGAACCCTATATAACATTGCTGTGAGTCAGAACCCACTTGACAGCACACAAAAACAACAATCCTATTCATATCAGAATAACATTTGACCATTGTATTATTTATTTTCTTAGTAAAATCTATTCGAAGTATACCTGCTTACCTTGCAGAAACTCTATACTATGCTATGAAGGTAAGTGGATACCTTGAATCTTTTAACTCATCTTTCTAGTTATTATTTTGTACTTACCTGATCTAATTATTATTATCTGATCTAGTTACCATGTTTTAGATGATAGTTTTTTGTTTTTAATTTAAAACACATTGTTTGTTTTGTTTTATGGATTCACCCCAAACTCAAAGTGAGTTTGATACTATAATTGAAGCTTTTAAACTGTGTACTTCTCTTTTTCTTTTTTAAAGGGAGCTGGAACAGATGACCACACCCTCATCAGAGTCCTGGTTTCCAGGAGTGAGATTGATCTGTTTAACATAAGAAAGGAATTTAGGAAGAACTTTGCCACCTCTCTTTATTCCATGATTAAGGTAATAGAAAAACAACACTTGCTGCCTAATTTAATCCAACTCACATTGATTTCATGTGTCTTAGAGTAGCACTGTGCCCTGTATAATAAGGTTTTTACTGGCTGATTTTTCAGAAGATTGCCTGCCAGACCTTTGTTTTGAAGTGCTTCTGGGTGGACTCAAACTACCAACCTTTTAGTTAGCAGCCAAGCATAGTAACTCTTTGTACCGCCCAGGGACTTCTGGGTAATAGAACCTTTCTTTAAATTATATTTAGAACTCCAGAGCAGACCAGAATATGGCATGCTTAGACGTAGGTGGAAGAACACAATTCTTGCAGTGATTTTAACATTTTAGTGATACGGTTAGAGCTCTGTATTACAAAGCTTGGATATTGTTCCCTGAAGTGAAAAAGATGGCTCCCAAGTGAAAACTAGGGCAGTTGCTGAAACACTTGGTAATCTTAGAATCATTCTTTAGGAGTGGTGACAGATGACTCAGCAAACCCAACCCCGTGTCCATGATAATGATGTGTTTGTCTTTTCTCTCTTTTATTAGTTCCTCCTTTCTTTCTTATCAGTTTCTTATTTCTGTATTGTCTGTTATCGCCCTGCCTCTGACATTTGTTCTTAGCTCCAAGCAGATCATATCTGGAATACATGTAGGTATCACTGATAGTGATTTCTGCCCTTTTAAAAGCAAAGGACCCTGTGGCCTATAATTGAAATCTAGCTTAATTTTTTTCTTGATAAAGGGTAATGTGGTCCATTTGTTAAGCAGGTGTGGCACTGTAGGACTGCTAACCACAAGGTTGGCAGTTCAAACCTCTCACCCACTCCTCGGAAACCCTATATTGCATCACTATGAGTTAGAATTTGCACGGCACTTAAAAACATCGTCTGAATTAAGCATGCTTTTCATGTGTGTGATGGAGTGGCTGGGCTGAAACCTGCTACAGAATTCACCCATATTATATTCAGAGGTTGGAATAATTTCTTGTGCCCATCTGTCTGTGACACAAATTGAGGCAGCGTTGTCACAGTCAGGTAACTCCAACACTACCCCACTTCTTAAAAAACCCATTGCTGTCAAGTCATTTTGGACTCATCATGACCCTATAGGATAGAGTAGAATTGTCCCCTACGGTTCCTTTCTGGAAGCAGAGTGCTACATCTTTCTCCTGTGGAGCAGCTGGCGGGTTCGAACCACTGACCTTTTGGTTACAGCCTGATGCTGTAATGACTGTCACTAGGCCTTCATTTGTCCTCCTTAGACAGATACATACTGTTGGTGTTGTTAAATGGCATGGAGTCATTTCTGACTCATAGCAACTCTGTTTAGGGTTTCTGAGGAGCAACTTGTGGGTTTGAACCATCAACTTTGTCATTAACAGTCCAGTGCTTATCCTGCCGAGCAACATCAGGACTCCAGATATATACTATGTATTAGAAATTTATAAGTTATTTAGAGAACTTGAATTTAATATAGTTAAAAATGAAGGTAGGTCATTTTCTCTGTTCTGTGAGCAATTAGAGGGAAGAACATTTGTTGTTGTTAGTAAGTGACATTATGTTGCTTCATATTCATAGTGACCCTGTACAGGATCTCTGAGGAGCTTCTGGTGGGTTTGAACTGCTGACCTTGCAGTTCAAACTGACCATGTGGTCTAGTTCTTATCCTACAGCACCACATCCCTGAAATGGAATGAAAAGATAATGGAATTTTGCCATGAATTTTGACGCCTCCTCATACTTCCCTGTCTTTGAGAGAACTGTGTCTTTAAGTTAGAAAGTTAAGCATAAGTCACATTCATTGGAAATTCCCTGATTAACATTCCTGTTGTGGAAGTCACATGCATACACACACACAGATCACCCAGAGAAAAAAAATCATATGACTAAATTTTGTGGCCATATATGTTTTTGGAGTTCTGGTGTGGCACTGTGGGTTAATGCGCTGGACTGCAAAGTCGGTTTGAACCACAGGGTTAGGAATTCAAGCGAACTAGCTACTCCTTGGAAACTCTGTACACTGTGGATAAGAACCAACTCGATGGCACTTAAACAACAACAATGTGTCTTTAGTTTTCTATTTTCTGTAGCTGCTGTGACTCATGGAGGTTAACCTAGTACATTTGGTTTTCAGGGTGATACCTCTGGAGACTACGAGAAAGCCCTCCTGATGATCTGTGGAGGAGAAGACGACTAAAGTGCCTCCTGATGACATCCCTCCTCTGTATCAGCACTGCTGCCACGACTGTCCTGTAGCTCTTCTAGCCCCACTTTTGTACTCCGTGCTTGACACATTGCCTTATTCACACTAGCATGCTAATGACCAAAGCATACATGTTGTAGAAGTAAATACTATGCTTCTTTTTGATCTTCAATGGAGATCTTATTCTCTCTGACTGTTACAGTGCTCAAGTGTACTTACATTACTAAGTCTAGAGTTTGGATCATTTATATTTTCCTTTAAGGGATCAGACTGCTTTTAGCATTTTTGTAAAACTTTGTTTATATTAAATTGATAATTACATTGCCTTAATTGGAATCTTAGCCTTGAAATTGTTAACTTCTGGAAGTGTTATTATCATGTTTGCTACTAAATTAAGCCTGCAAAATTATGGGCATTGCATTCAAAAGATTAATGAAAAATAAACCTTCACTTTCCCCCAAATTGTGGGTGTGTGTATGTGTACAGAGTATTAGTTTGATGCCTGTGATACTGTCTTTTTTCAAGCCCATCTGTTGACAGTGGTGCTAGTTGAGAACTGAACTTGCAGTTGGATTTTTGGCGAGACAGGCTTGAAATGCAGCACGACAGATTACAACTTTCTGTCCTTCACGGTGTGGAATTAGATTGCAGGGAGATCTCTGATTTATCTGCAGCATTCTTCTTTTGGCATAAGTTTAGTGAGGCTTGTGGTGCTACTTGCTTGATGGGAAAGATATTTTAAAACTTAACTAAAAATTCAGAGTACTACCTTCCTTCTCATTATAAACTTGTCTTTCCTACTCACCATCTGCTACCTTCCTTGAGATAAAAAAGCATGCAATGTATTTTAGAAAGGAATAGTTTCTCCATCTCTTCTTGCAAGATTTACCTTCTAGTTTTCTTGCTGCTTTTAAATCATCTCTTGATTTGGTATAATACTTATATCCTTATGGAAACATTTTTAAAAAAACAAAGTGATAAAGTGATTGCTCTTGATAAAAACACATATTTTTGAAATTTCTTGTTGTGAATTGAATGAAAGTTTACAGACAAGATCATCAATTTTACATTCAACAAATAATATACTATGTTTCCTCTCAATGATTGGAATCCTTTCCATTCAACAACGGTTATCCCACTTCTTCCTTGTGGTTCTGATTTCCATTCCACCTTCCTTTCTCTCCCTTCTCAACTTTGTCCTTCAGTAAATGTTGACCATTCTGTGGTGAACATACTGCACTAGTGTTGTTGTACCCTGATAAACCCATTTACTGCTTGGCTAAAAATTAGGTCACGAGAGTGAGTTCCTTTCCAGACTCAAAGAATGGTTGAGTTCCATAGTTTTGGGTTCCTTCATTCTCTTTCTGACTAGTAAGCCTGGTGGTGTTTTGTTTTTATAATTTGAGTTTTGTTCCACATTTGATCACAGTCTATGTGGGACCTTCTAGTATAGTCCCTTTCAGAGCAGTTGGCAGTGGTAACCAGGCACTATCTAGTTCTTCTGTTCTCAGCCATAGTGACTGATGTTTACCACTGGACTAGTTGATTCCTTCTAAGCATCTTTAATTTTCTTTTTTTTATTATTTTTTTAATGTTTTATTGTGAATTATATGATAGTTTACATGGGAGAACTTTAGTTTTACATTCATTCCATCGTATATCATCTCACTGCCATGGTTCCAATCCCCTCCATGCATCATCAACCATCCAAAGGGTATATCCCAGAAACCTGCTCCCTACACTTCCCTCTCCTCCCCCCAGTTTTCAGCCCACAGTCCCTTTCCTTATCGGTACAAAGTCCCCAGTCTAAGCATCTTTAATTTTCATTATTCTGCTAAGAAGGCATTTTTATAAAATGGAATCATCTTTAAAATAATTCAATAGTTTAACTATTAAATAATAAATTGCGAGAAATAATTTAAAATGGTGATAAAGTTCTTTTCGTTAAATTGATTGCTCATCAGAGTAATCAGAGAAGCTTTAAAAATTGTGTGTAAATATGACATCAGAGGTTTTCAAATGCTTGGAGACAATTCTTTTGTAAAACCAAGTTGGGATTCAGTTACCTTTCATAACTAAGATCTTAGACAGTATGTTAAATAGTTCTTTTCTTTCTTTTTTTTTTTTAGTAGTTCACTAGCTTTAAATGTAAGTCCTGTATTATTCATTTCCATGCTTCAAAAGAAATGAACATTGAAATCTGGATATAGTCAGTTTATGACCCTTTGCTCAGCTCTTGTAAGTATTTATTTATTTATTTTAGAATTAGACAAGCTGAATATAAATTTTATGTGGAAAAAATAGTAATATTCTGAAAAAGAGAAATGAGGATGTACTAATCCTAACATACATCAAAATAGATTATAAAGTCTAAATAATCAAAACAATTGTTTACAGTATGTGGATAGACACATAATGGGCAAAATAGCAAGTTTATATATGGAATGAAATACGTTTGCAAGTTCAATATTAATAAAGATGTATCTTAATATGCTGTATAAATACAGAATTCTATTTTTAATTCAATGGTGTGAAATAATTGAGCCGCCAACTAGAAAAAGAGATTTTTTTTTTTTTATGCCACATATTAAGATAGTCTCAGAATGACAATCAAAGGCTTAAACATAAAAAATAAATCATGAACATATTAGAAAAAGCATGGGGTATTTCTCTACAACTGTCGTGTTCTCTGGAAAGCAGATGCTGCCAGGGAGTTAGGGATACAATTGGTTTACGGAAGGCAAAGGAATGGCAGGGGTAATCCTCACACTGCAATGCAGACCTGATCAGCTAATCTACATGGATTTCTGGGACCGTTTCCAATGAGAAAGTTCCGTGTTAGGTAGACATTATTGGGCCATTGTGTCACCTCCTTGTTCAATGATTGTCCATGTACCTGCCAGAGAAGAACATGATTTGGGAGGAAATACATACTTGCATATCAGTGTTCATTGCAGCACTTTTCACAGTAGACAAATGGACACAATCTAAGTGTCCATTGACAGATGAATGGATAAACAAAATAAGGTACATACATAACAGGGAGCTTTAAAAAAATTGTGAAATAAGTTTATAGGCCTGTATCCCCAACACACAAACTTTCTAAATCCCCTCATACAATGGAATAATATTTATTCATAAAGAAACATGAAGTCTTAACTCATGATAAAAAACGTATAAACATTGAAAATGTTGTTAAGTGCTGTTGAATAGGTTCCAAATTATAGCAGTCCTATCGTATGCACAACAGAAGGAAACACTGCGTGGTTCTGTGCCAGCCTCACAATTGTGCTTGAGTCAACTGTTGCTTCTACTATGTCAATCCATGTTGTTGAGGGTTTTCCTCTTTTTTGCTAACCCTCAACTTAACCAAGCATGAAATCCTTCTCTATGGACTGGGCCTTTCTGACAGTATGTCTAAAGTACAAGAGAGGATGTCTTGACATCTCCCTTCTAAGGAACATTCTGGCTGTACTTCTTCCAACACAGATTTGTTTGTTTTCTAGCAGTCCCTGATAACTTCCAATATTCTTCTAAAGCACCATAATTCAAATGCGTTGATTCTTCCACAGTTTTCCTTCTTCACTGTCTAACTGTCACACGCATATGAGATTATTGAAAATACCATGACTTGGGTCAGGCAAACCTTAGTCCTCAAGCTGACGTCTTTGCTCTTTATCACTTTAAAGCGATATTTTGTGGCAAATTTGTCTAATAAAATATGTTGTTTGATTTTTTTGACCGCGATTTACATAAGCATTGATTTTGAATCCAAGAAAAATGAATTTTTTGACAACTGCAATCCTTTTTATGTTTATCATGATGTGAGTTTTTGGTCCAGTTGTGAGGATTTTCATTTTCTTCATATTAAGATGCAAGGCATACAGAAGGCTGTAGTCTTTGATCTTCATCAGTATTTCAAGTACTCTTCAGCTTCTACCAAGCAAGACTGTGTTACCTACATATCAAAAGTTGCTAATGAGTCTTCCTCCTATCCTGATACTCTCATTTGGTCCGCCTCACAGAATTTGCTCAGCATACAGTTTGAGTAAGTATGACGAAAGGATACAACACTGACACACATCTTTTCCTGATTTTAGACCATTCAATGTGAGAGGCTGCATCTTGTTCTATGTATAGGTTCTTATGAGCACAATTAAGTTGTTCTGTAATTTCCATTATTGCAATGCTATCCATAGTTTGTTGTGATCCACACAGTTGAATGCCTTTGCATAGTCAATAAAGCACAAGTAAACTTTCTGGTAGTCTCTGCTTTCAGTCAAGATCCACCTGGCATCATCAATGGTATCTCTGGTTGTAAGTTCTCTTGAGAATACAACTTGAATTTCTGGTAGCTCACTGTTGATGTACTGCTGCAAATATTTTTGCATTATATTCAGCAAAATTTTACTTGCATGTGATGTTAATAATATTGTTCAATGATTTCCATTGGACCACTTTTGTTTGGAATGGGAATGAATATGAATTTCTTTCAGTGGGTTGACCGAGTACCTGTGTGTCTTAGGTTGGGTTCTCTAGAGAAGCAAAATCAAGGAAGCTTACATGTGTATATGTAAAGAGAGGTTTGTATCAGAGAAATGGCTCACACAGTTGTAGAGGTGGGTAAGTCCCAAGTCCATTGGTCAGATGTCAGGCTGGACGTTTCTGAATCATATCTACAGGGCTGATGAACCAAGATCAACAGGCCAGATGGCAGACAGGCAGGGCAGGTAAGATGACTGGCTGCTGATGACTCCCATCGATCGGCAGGAAATAGAGCAGGTTATCTGGACTTAAGCTGGGTACATAATCCAGAACAAGTGGAAAGGCAAGCAAGCCTTTTTCAAATGTTTAATATATTGAAACAGGTCATACCCCTGATAAAACTTCCTTTCAATAGACTGGTTGATCTCTTAGTTGATAGCAGATCTCTTGTTGGAGGATGTGATAGTTAAGGTTTTATGGTTTGGCTAGTGGTTTATCATTTAACATGT